TTTAAAGGAAACATTTCCTCACACCATGCAACTGAAGACAGCTTTGATACATATGTCTTTATTGGAGCATCGATTGCAGGCCTAATTGTCATTGCTATTGTTGCGACTGTTTGTTTCCTGAAGAAAAGAAATACATATGGGTATTTAATTTGTAACTTTGATATGTGCATTGCAATGTTTATCATTAAATCTTACATGATTTAAACGAAGCACTTGTTAAAAAGTATTCTAAAATAAGTTATTATGTATATTCATACATAGCATTTTGAACTATTCCTACTGACATTCATGTGTTGTACCAAGTCTCCTATTTTACTTTTTACAAAAATATTCACAGCAGTGAAGGAGAAACTTTTAGAGTATGAACAACAACATATTCGAAACATTGTGTTATTCAAATGTGGATACTTAAAAACTTCAAGGAACTGTAGAAAATTTGAAACCACCAAATATTACCGAAATCAATGGCATCAAAACATAACTTTTCAATTCTTTATGCAACCATTCCCCACGATAAATTTAAGACCGGAATTTTTAACATCACAGACAACTGCTTCTTCAATAAAAATGAGACTCGTTAATTTGAATACCTTGTCAAAGGTCATCTGCAAACTTATTTTGTTAAAAATATTCTGATTCTACACACAAGCACTCCGAGATTGATATTTAAAAGATGCTTGAGTTTCTCATTGACAGTATATATATATAGTTTTAGGAGACTACGTGTTCCAACGTCTGTTGGAATTCCCTTCGGTACTAATTTTGCTCCGGTATAAACAGACCTATTTTTGTATCCTTATGAAGATCTTATTCAAAAACTTCTCGATAAGAAGAAGTCTCTTGCTGTGACCTTCAATTCGACATTTAGATATATCGACGACGTTTTATTAATTAACAATATTCATTTTTATGCCAACGTTGATTCGACATATCCCACTGAACTCAAATCAAAAGACAACACAAAGGGATCTGACATATCTGCTTCTTATTTGGATATTTTACTAAACACATTGATGGCAACCTAACAACTTAATTTTATGATAAACGTGATAACTTCAACATTTCAATTGTCAACTTCCCTTATTTTTTGTAGCAATATACCGTTATCCTGCATACGTAATTTTATTCTCCCTGCCGATTCGACACACAAGAACACGTCCTATAAACGAATAATTTCAAAAAACGAGTTAAGCTAGTGACAAATAAATTGAAAATACAAGGATACCAACAATTTCGTATAAAGTCTTCATTTCGCAAATTCTATGGTCGATACAATGACCTTGTTTGCAAATACAATCTGTCGTTAAGTCGAATGTGGACTGCTGTCTAATTTCACAGTGCTAGAAATCTGCAGATCTTTTCACAAACAATTTACGAGAAATTTCCTTCGTACGAGAAATCTTACAGTTTTTTTTCCTTTTCATCAATAAAATCTTGCAAGATTCTGATGTGTTAAATTTGTCGTAACTTTACGAGAGCCTTAACACCCTCGTGAGTATTTAAAACCGATTTTATTGTAAAAATATAACCGATAAAACCAAAATACATGTTTAATTAAACTTTTTACTCAACCTACGATAGTATTTTATATTTTTTTCACAATTATCGTCGTTAAATGAAATATACTACAAAATATTATATTATGGCATGTAGTTTCACTTGATATTTTGGTATAACCTACTTCTACGTTAGTCTCTTGTCTGTGACGTCAGATTTCAAACGTTCGTGCTTCACAATCGATTGCACGGTAGCTCAGTCGGAAGAGCGTTCGCTCCGTGATTGGAAGGTCGATAAAAAATAGGTAGCAACTGTTCCTTCGCCAAACTCTCGGCACTTTAAAGTAAATGTTATAGGTCCTTCGAATGAGATCTTAAAACCGAGGCCCCGCGTCAAGTCAGGTTGGCACGATAATGATCCCTCACTGCTCAATTGCCCTCAATGCCGAGTAAAGGACTAAAGAAGCCCTTCGCCGGTATATGGTGACGTCTCTATATGAGTGAAAAATTTTCGAACGGGACGTAAAACAACATACAGTCAATCAATCACAATCGATTGCATAGTGTTTGTTTTACTTACAAGTGTTGAAAACTTCACTTCATTTTTATTCTCATTCACTTCTTAAGAATTATAAAGCATATTGAGATCGTTGCTAGGAACGAAGTCTGTCGTAAGTAAGATCTCTAGTTTAATCTGCTACGAATATAATGTGTTCGTGAAAGTACTTAAGATTTGTCGTAAGAGATACTTCATGTGAAATCTTACCCCAGAACGTAGGATTTTTTGTGAAAAGGGCTACTGATTTTAAGCTAAAACTAGCACAAGAAGTACTCACCATGGATAAAAATGTAATGGGTTAAACCCTTTTTAAAAAACTGATGATTTCCTTTGTTTCATTTTTTTAGGATAAAATTTCCTTTACTTCAATTTATAAAATCTTTTATTTTTGTAGGAATCGTTACGAAAGATCAACAGTGCAGGAAGAAAACAATTATTTGACAATTAGTAATCAAGGATATTTAACCGAAAACAATAGCGCTGAGAGACAATTATCTGCTGAATACTTCACTATTAATGATCAATTCGCCTCAGAACAGGAACAATCACCTAAACAAATGTATCTGAATCCTGTGTATAATCTCTAAATGGCACACACGCACGCAGAGTTTGATATAGCCAGACGACATATATAGAAGATATCATTGTCATAGTATATTCATACTGTGTCTAATGGAGCATGGATTAACAAAAGATTATTGTTGTTAGTAAAAATATGAAAATTGCTTCCTAGACAATAGTGAAGGGTGTCAGTGACGTATTTTTGTCATTTCAGTCATTAATTCACAATTATATCGTATACCCAGATTAAAGCAAAAGGATTCCTCGATTAAAATATATTTCATAATTCATATAGTATTTCAGTGTTATATGGTATACATTTATGATCTTTACATAAAAATAAGGAATTTTTGAGAGAATTCTGTTAAATGAAAAAGTATTTTAAACAGAATTCTTTAAATCGGACTCCCCTGTTACATGAATCTCGAAAAGTTCTCAAATATTTTTTGTCGCCTGCGTTTCGTATTGATTAGACCGTCCTCTCTAGAGCCGCGGAGTAAGGAGCTGATCCTTACGTCTCGGGTTCGAATCCACTGAGGGACGTGGAGACCGGTCCTTCGGATGAGACCGTATAAACCGAGGTCCCGTGTCGCAGTATAGGTGTTGGCATAAAAAAGATCCCTTACTGCTCAATGGACCTGAGTGCCCAGTATAGGTATAATTTGAAGCCATCCACCGGCAAGTTGTGGCTTCTCCATATGGGTGAAAAATTCTCGAGAGGGCATTAAACAACAAAACAAACATTTAAAAAAAAATTGCATTTATATCGTAACATTGACATTGCATATTACTAAATATGCTTAAAGAGAGTAATAAAATAATATCTGTTTTATTTGCAGTGGGAGTCGGATAAATGGCTTTAATCATATACAATTAATTACCCCTTATGAGGTCAACATGGTGAAATAAGGACCCGAGACCTGGCCCACGAGATGACCTGACCTGACCTCGGCCGCGTAGCACTCTGTGATTGTCAGTAACATGCATTTTTATAATCACAAATACCGATTCCGAGTACAATGACAATCTGGTGCAGACTTTTACTGTACAAAAGAGCCAAGTCTGCATTCGTTGAATTTGACACTGTAACGAAAGTTTCAATGAAAACGATAAATTTTATGACGCATCTGAAGGACAATCGTATTCCATATCATAAAAAGACTATACATATTTTTATAACGGCATTTTCTGTAATGAACAGTCATTATTGTATGCATTAATTTTAAACTTTGAATGGAATTTAGATTAACAGGTCATTTTTAGCGGTCATTATTTATAATGACCGGGTCATTAAACCCCACGTGCAATGATTCCTAGGTCATTATTGCTGTAAATGGTACTTTTTGGAGTCATTATTGAGTTTAAAAGCCTTCTAACAAGCCAATCAAATTTGAGTATTCTTAATAGAGGTATAATAATGTAAAATAATGTTGTTTTTTTTTCAAACGGATCTACTCCTCTGAGGAAACCTATCAGATGTAACATCCAAAGTGCTGAAATGGAATATAGACATAAATTTGCAGAGTGTATTAAAGGAGAACGTCTCAGATTTGAAGGGTTAAGCGCCTATTCCGAAAATAGCCCAAGCAATTAAGTCGACGTCTAATATCGTTAGTTGAAGAAAAAGTATCATATCAATTGAAACTATTTATAAAGAATGAAATAAACATCCAAATTACGATTGTATATTTTTAAATTGCCTCACTTTGCAACATAAATATGTTACTGCATTTATCATACTTATTTAACAATATAATAATCATTGGCTTCGTTGTTCATGTAAAATTTACTGTAATTTTTGACAGAATTTTACTGTATTGATAAAAATAAGAGAACGTATTAATTTTACATTTAATCTTACTCACGGCATGAATTCAGCGTCTTGGTGCAAAGAGTCAGAGAAAAAGGAAGACTGTCCTTATTATTGATTTATGAATCCAAATAGAAACACTAGACGGCTACTTAATAATTTACTTTAAAAGACAAACTTTTCGTATGAATAAATGAACATGTAAAAAAAAAGTTTTGATAATCTATTTATGAATCTATATGTAAATTAAGCACTTAGATATTTCCTCATTTTCTTACCTATAAAAGAAAAAGATTACACAAATTTTTGATCTTTGATAAACTTCAATCTTCTTGTGGATATAAAAACACTACTTTTATTGTATAGATGAATACATGACATAAAACATTATATTACATATTTTCTGGTTTTGCATGATGTGTATAAGGAGCCTATAAACAAAACTTCCCCCTTTCTAACGCAAAGGCTTGCCCAACTTCTTGTTAACTTTAACGGTTGTAGGCATTAGAGTTTCATGTGTTTGTTCTTCCTTAAAAGATGTTTATTTCACAAGTCATAGCATTCTTGGCAATACTAACAACTGAAGGATATTCCTGTTTCGGTAAGTTTATAAGATTTCTTACATCGCATTTAAGTATTGAGCATATGTTTTGTAAATGTTTTTCTTGTTTATTTCATTTTTTTTTTATTTGTTTCCTTTTTCATTTGATTTTTTTCCGTTTGCCTTTCGGAAATGTATTTGCTTTCATGATTTATTTTATAATTTATGAATAAAGTACATGTAAGCAGGTGGAAACTATAGGGCTTGAGCATTAACAATTAAAATTGTACGCACATCGGTACGTAATGTTAGTTCACCTTTTGTTTAAGATATAATCAGGAAAAGTTTATGTTTACATTTTGGTTAACTGACTAATATTTCAAAGTTGGCAATTTCAAGTCAAATGTTCCATTTTAGCATGACGATTTAAAAAAAAAAACATCAAATTTTGTTTTTCCAAATAATTCATGGCCAATTCTGAGCGGCTAATACGATTTCTAAAATCTGACATTGAGAACTTGACAATAAAGTCAATTTAAATAAAATCAACCCACAACTCACAAAAATAAGCAAAAACTTTTGTTAGATTCTGCGACTTTCACCTGAACATACAATTTAAACCATGAATTTCTAAAAAAAATGAACTATTATTTAAACCTAAAGAGTCAAAGTTATAAAAAAAAAAAAAAACAAAACCCAATGCCCTTAACAATAATGAAAGATGAAAATTCCTGTTCTGATTTCAGACCTTTGAAAGAGATTGATCAGTGTTGATACTGATTTTTCAATAATAGAGAACAAGTTGTGTTTGTGAAACACCGATGCCCCCGTGTGACAGCTCATTGTCAAGGTTAGGATTAGTTTTTTTTAAAACGTAGGTCAAATTCCAAGATCATTAGGTCAAAAATGTTATTACGCAGAGAAAGGTCTTGTAACAGGGAATAAGCGTGTGAATATAAAAGTCCAAGCACCAACAGTTCAAAAGTTACGACCAAATGAAATTTTTTTTCAAAAGAAGTTCAAAATCCAATTAAGGTTAAAACCAAGAGAACCGAATGTTAGTACCCACAGGAAAGTCTTTGCAAGTAATTAGAGGGGCATTTGAAAAGTTCTGAGAACTGTTTGATAAAACATTAACTGTTCAATGGAAATGACTGAGTTTGATATCACTGGACAGATCACAAAAATATACATATATTGTGACGTCATTGTAATTTTTATTATGAAATAACTCCGAAAATGACGTCAGAATTCGAATGTCTAGCATACTGACCATAAAATGACGTAACAAGAGACACAATTTTAATGAAGTAAAATTTTTATGTAAACGTTTGTTCATTACTCGGATGAACTCTAACGGACACAACTACCAGTTGGAAGAATATTTACATAGACTACAGTCTAATATTTACATTCAATATGTATTTTGCTTATAAAGTATGAGGAAAGCTACGGCATTCAAAACACCATAACACGGACAGGGGTTCAAAAGGTTAACGTGTGTGTTTTATTTTGACGTCACAAACGTTTAACGCCGTGGAAGTGCAGCGTCATCAACGAAAATCAAATTTCACGCTCAGATTGAACAGAAGCTGTTGCAATGGCTCTTCCATTAAATGTAACTTACCTAAAGGATAATACAGGGATTTTGAAATAAAAAAACACCTTTGCAATCAAGGCAAGGAGTTAAAAAATATAAATATAAGCATTGAATCATTATTTTTTGAAAGATATAGTCTCATAACTGCAAGGATGTGTGCACACAAATTTTCATAACGCGCTAACGCGCGTTACTCAATTTGTTTGCACACAACGTTGCAGTCATGAGACAATATCTTTCAAAAAATAATGATTCAATGCTTAATTATATGGAGTTTATATTCAGGAGCTCCTTTAGTTCTGAGGTGGTTTATGTAGTGTGTCAAACATAGCATCTTATTATCGAATCTCGCGCAAAATATTGGGTAAAAAAGACGCTGCTCTGAAAACCCCCCACAAAGTTTACAATCACAAGAGAATAGTGGACGGTGTTACAGAATTTACTGGCATTAATTCGTCAGTTGTTTTAACCAATTTTGCGGGAACGATTAAAGCTCAAGAGAGGTTAAGCTAAGGATGTCCCATATTTTCTCGTAAAAACTAAAATCGCGCCAGTGTATTTCTAACCCCACCGTAACTCGATATGTTCGAAAATTTGAAAACATGGAAAATAAATAATAGACAAATAATAATAATAATAAATAATAAATAAATAGTGAGTTTTGGATTGTCGTAGTTGAAATAATATGAAAAAGTACGCGCATAAATTTGTTCGGGGGAAGACGTTTGTAGGACTTATTCGTAAAGGGTAAGAGTCCTGATACTCAAGATGAAAGAACATTAAGAACAAAACTGCATTATTACACTTCAGTTTTATACAGAATATGTTTTAATACACTGGAGAACTATATAATAGACCAAAAATCCAGCTATATCATATAAATAAAATCTTTTATGAAGATTTTATGAGGATAACATTGCTGTGCTTATAAACCAAGCCAAAAAAAAAAAAAAAAAAAAAAAAAAATAAATAAATAAATAAATAAAAATAAAAATAAAATATGTAATTGCTGATTTACCGAATCATTCTTATTGTCATACTCTACTTCCAGGCAAATTCTCTTTGAAATATATCTTTTCAAAGACGCCTTTTACAGCACTTTTTCGATGTTCTCATGTGGATAGCTTTTTTAGAGTTATTTCGTCATAAATATACGAAAATGACGTTCATATAAGTGCAAATTTTCCAGCTCTTTTCAATGGTATCAAACTTGTTCACTTCTGTGAAATGGTTCATATTTTAGCAAGCAGTTCTTAGAACTTTTCAAATGCCCCTCGTACATAGATAAAATATGAAAGCTCTAGTACAACTGTTCGAAAGCTATTGTCAAGATTAAAGTTCTAGTATCTGCAAACGTGAAGAATGGAGACAGAAAGACATAAAGACGGACCCACGAAAAAAATTTAATTCCCCTAGATTCAGAGTAGCGGGCTATAAATTGAACACAAATTAGGTTAAAATTTGTTGCGATCGAAACAATGTGCATGAAAATCATATACACTACACTTTAATAAGAAAGTGGAACTCTCTTCCAATTTTGTCTTAATTTTTCATTTATGTAGAACACATAGATTTCCAAGAAGGTTTATCAAATGATTAAATCGAAACTAAAATCTTTACGTAGAAGTCAAATTATACTCTCTTTAAAGGAATAGTGTCTGAAATGTATAATTTTGTCAATTCAATTTTTGTACTTGACTGTCAACTAGCAGATGCAGTATATTCATAACTCAACGCAAACGTAATATTACAGGTATCCCTGCTAAAAGGGGACTCATTATTGGAATGTGGAATCCTGCTTCGCTGGTCACCATCACAGATATACCCGGATATCAAACAGAATATTATGATAATGGCACAATATATTTGAAACCTCCAAATATTCAAGTTTATAGTATTACGTCTGATGAAAAAAATAAAGTAGTTTTTTTTGCTATTCACCATTATATTTTTGCGTTACAAAACTTTACTATTCCGCCAAAAAAATCAACATCTCTTGAATCAATTACAGTTGCTTACAAAGGAAAATCTGCAGCTCTTGGACAAATTGCCTTTGACTTTGTTTCCAATAATCTGTACTGGTGTGACTCGCTTTTAAAATGGATAGGCATGAAACCAGCATACGACCATAATAATACTACATATAAAATTGTCGTTCAAGATGATTTATTTCAGCCGGTAGGATTGACACTAGATCCCGAAGATGGGTAAGATAAATAATATCTTTAAATTGTAACACATTAAGATATACATCATCATATGTGCAAAACTGTCCAAGACTTAAATGCATGTAAAACTTGCAGCATAGAGTGTTCTGTGGATAAAATCGTTTATTTCCATTTTATATATGAAATATCAAATTCTACATCTTGAGTATAGGAAAAATTTCGTTTCATTTATATATATATATATATATATATATATATATATATATATATATATATATATATATATATATATATATATATATATATATATATATATATATATATCCACACACGTAGTCGTATATAAAAAAAATTCACAACACCGAAATAAACTCTACCGGTTTCATTTTCAATCTTCAGGAGTTTGACAACATATTGCTTAGTTACACATAAAAATTTCTTCATTTATGTGTAACTAAGCAATATGTTGTCAAACTCCTGAAGATTGAAAATGAAACCGGTAGAGTTTATTTCGGTGTTGTGATTTATATATATATATATATATATATATATATATATATATATATATATATATATATATATATATATATATATATATATATAAAGGAGAAAGGCCGAAAACTGTTCATTCCGTGAGAGAAAGAACTAATCGAGGGCCGTAGACCCGAGATTAGTTCTTTCTCTCACAGAATGAACAGTTTGAGGCCTTTCTCCTGCTTAAAACATGATTTCCTTTGTTTTGAAAATTAAATATAAAATGTACAAAATGACAGGTAGCACACATACAATGGCAAGTTCATTGTTTACGGAATGGACAGTCACAGGTAAGCTAGGGATGCAGAGCAATTTGTTGAATAGCCATTGTGTTTCCAGATGCAAATAACAAAAGGTTTTTGTCTTAAGAATGGACAGTTACAGGTGGAATTTGCAGGATACTAGTATTTATACAAGTATACGATGCTTCAAAATCAGTTTACAGTTTGCGTTGTAAAGACAAACATGTTTTCCTGTGATGGAGAGAGTATATGACAGAATCAAAATCTGATAAACCAAAATATGCACAAAATTAGTGATATTTGGATCTGGAAACAGAAAAGGAAGAGTAAAAGAAATATTAGCCAAATTTTGACCCAAAAATGAATTTCGACGACAGATACAGATGATCAAATTCAAATCAAACCTGGAAATGTTTTATTTGAATTCTATTTTTGAGGATATATTAACTGCAGCAGTTTTATGGTGAGATGCAATTGTGTTCTGAGTGTTGGATCAGCCATGAGCCAATCTTCGACCTGAAATGTTTTTCAAATCAAATCGGGAAATGTTTCATTTTTATTTATTTTCTAACGATATATTAACTGCAGCAGTGTAGTGTTCATGGTGCAAACTGTTTTCTGGGTGGAGGATTTAATATCAGAGGTACTTCTATCTGAAAATGAATTCTCCTCGAGGGAATGATTTTTCCGAAATTTAAATCAAATGTGAAATTGTGTCATTTGAATTCAAGTTTTGTGAAAATTAAGTTTTAGGTATTGAAAAAATGTGCATCATTCATGGATTTAAAAGAGTAAAATCGAGTGGATGCTGTGTAGACATTGTGTTCTGGATTAACTTTGGTCTCCGCGTTCTTTTTGTTATTTACATGTTTTTATATTTAATATATTGTTTTTGTTTCCCTCTTGAACACATTCCAAAGTTTACCTGTAACTCTCCATTCTGTTTATTTCAACTTTTCATTCTTTTTGAAAAAAACTGTCCATTCTTAAAAGAATGGACAGTTTTCCAAAAAGAATGGACACTTACAGGTAACTTAATGGATTGTTTGAGGAGTTAGCTCAACATTAAGCTATAGAATGGACAACACAAACAAAAGGTTTACGTCACAATCATGTTTATATATATATATATATATATATATATATATATATATATATATATATATATATATATATATATATATATATATAACGTGTTTACAACTTTCTTTAAATTAGTACCAAAATGCATAGTTTTGAAAATGCGAAACAAATACGAAGTTTTTTCGTTTTTTTAAGGGGGGTGGGGGGTGGATGGTACTTCTTTCAGCTATTGTAAATCAATACTTTATAAACATTTAAAGAACTTATAGCATGTTTCTAAATTATTTGAAATTAAAAGCGTAAAACGTTCCTCATAACCACAGTTTATAAATTTTGTGTTTTTACTGCGGATAAACCGCGGTAATTAACCAATAATTGACTCAAATGAGACCCCTGAATTAAAAATCTAAGTTAATTAGATAGCGATCACGTGACCCTGTGACGTCAAAGGCGACAATGGCTGATCAGTTCTACACGATAATCTTCCTAAAATATATGCGGTACAACCTGAATTTTCTGCGTTGTGGACGACCAAATCACTGATTTTATCGATATGAAATTGAATATCCAACCTTATATTTTAGAATTGTCAGAAAGAAAAAATCTGAAAAATCTGTTAACAATGTAAAAATAGCAGCGACGATATCGAAGGAGACGCGGCGAAGACGAAGAAACTCGCCATCACAATACAATTTGATTTGTCATCTTATCACATGTATTAACTTATTTGATTCACAAATTTAATATTGTATAACTTTGTTATTCTTCGTTTAACCATAACATTAATTTACTTATGTTTTGTAAAGGATGGCGGTCTTGAAAAATAATTTTCCGATCACGAAACATTGCCGTGATCGGAGCTGTACAGATTCTAAATGTTTCGAATAAAAAACGAAAATATCACAATAGCCTTATACCTTAGAACTAGTTAATGTTTCTATAGTAATTAAAAAGCACGCTAGGAAAGATTTTTTTCAGAATTTTTCGTAATTAAGCTGCATTTGTCGTTGATAACTCCGTAAATAGTGTGCATATTCTCATGTACATAAAAACAAGTTGAAAAATTATGCACTTTGAAAAATTTTTTAAAAGTGCGTTAAATTTGGGACCAAGTAAACGCACTTTGTTTGTTTGTTTCTATGTTGTTTAACGTCCCTCTCGAGAATTTTTCACTCATATGGAGACGCCACCACTTGCCGGTGGAGAGCTGCAAATTTTGTCCTATACTCGGCACTTAGTGGCATTTAGGATTGAGGGATCTTTTACGTGCCAGCACCTACTGCGACACGGGACCTCGGTTTATACGGTCTCATCCGAAGGACCGGTCTCCACGTCCCACAGTGGGATTCGAACCCGCTGCGTAAGGATCAACTCCTTACTTCGCGACTCTAGAGCAGACGCTCTGACCACTGCGCCACGCGGGCGACAAACGCACTTTGAAAAAATATATTTCTTTTCAAAGTGCGTTCATATCGACCATATTTAAGCACTTTGAAAAAATAAATGTGCACGGCTTGGTCAATATTCTCGCAAATTTTAGGTATGATAAATAATTATCTGAATCTGTTTGGATAATTTTTCGGTAATGACGTCACATCAGGATCTGAGATATAGAAGTTTTAAAGATTTTTAGGTGTTGTCTTGTTCCTAAAGGTTCAAAGCTTCTCATAAATGTCATAAAAGTTAATAAGGGTCTTTTGGAAATAATGGAGGAATGATTGTTTAAAAGCTCAATTTTGTTTAGTTTTGTTTTATTTTATCCAGTCTGTTCAGTAGATGTAGGGGTCGATAAGTGACTTAAAGCATCATATTTTTCAATGTGATTTTTCTATTGAAAATGAGCCTCTTCTTTAATATAATAGGGTTTGTTACTTTTTTCTTCAGAAAAGCTTATCTCAATTTTTTCATCTATTTTGCGTTAACTAAAATTTAGTGAGAGAAAGTATATCAATGTCATACCAGTTATGTAAATACATATAGATAAAGAGTTGGGCTGAGAAACCTTCTACCTGTGTTCTTTCGTTCTCGATGAGGGTAGATCAAAAGTGGATCCAGCGACGGCGCACCCCCCCCCCACCCCCCAGTTGAATTTATTTTATTTTTACATGTAAATGTAAATGCCACTGTAACTCAACTCATCAGTCTTTCGAAAGAAATGTAACAAAATAATTCTGTTTATTACTACTAAAATCTATCTCCAGAATTTTGTTTTATACGTATTTTTTTCAAAGGGCGTTAGGTGTCTCCATGGTAAAAAATGTTGATCTACACTCTTCAAAGTGCCTTGATTTTGTCCCAAATTTAATGCACTTTGAAATTTTTTTCTCAAAGTGCATTAATTTTGCCCCAATTTTAACTCACCTTGAAAAAAAAATTCATAATTCGTAATTTTTTCAAAGTGCGTTGCCACAGAGCCTAATTATATGATCATGTCTCCAGGAATAGCACAACATTTAACATGCCCGATTTTTGCTCATTCATCGGATAAAACTGAAAGGCTTAATTATTATTATTAATTACATGACAGATTTCGTCCCTGTGAAGAAATGCAAGAATCTGGACTTGGGAGGCAGAATTTATTGATTATTAAGATCTTCCGTTTTCACGGAAGACGTTATAGTGATTCTGCTGTTTCTTCTTCTTCTTCTTTTTTCTTTTTTACCAAATTTTGTGCAGGCGATTTCTCGAAAACTATTCACTGGTTTTCCGTGAAACTTCCAGGAAAAATTAGAGATTATATGACCTTTGTTCACCGCAAGGAAAATTTGGAAAATTTCATTCTGGTTCCAAGTTACGGGCAATTTCCTGATTTTTAAATGGAATGTTGTCTGCGGCAGATCTAAAGAACGGCTAAAGATTTGAACTGGAGACTTATTGGAGAGCATAGAACGTGACTTCTACATTTGCGGAATTGCCTTTTCGTGCGTCGTCTGTACTTCCGGTGGCTACCAGAAGCGAATTAAAAAAGTAGAATTTTTCAACATTTTTGTTTTTCAATATATTTTGATGATATTAGTAAGGTTAATAGAGACTCTTTTCAGAATGCATAATATATAATTTGTTTGAAAATTGATAATAAATATCATAATTATTATTAATATTTTTTAAACAAACATTGTGCACGCGGTGCCTCGAGAACTATTCATTGGTTTTTCGTCAAACTTTCAGGGATAATGCGCTATTACATGCCATTGTTACATTTGGAAGAATTTTTTAACAATTCGCTTCCGGTTCCAAGTTATGGACAGTTTTCTGATTTTAAAATGAAATTTTATCGCCCTTTTTTTCAAAAATGGCTAAAGATCTGAACTGGATACTTGTTAGAGATGGTAGATGATGGATTTTAGATGTGCAGAATCTCTTTTTCGTGCGTTGTTATTACTTCCGGTTGCTACCGGAAGCGAATATAAAAGTCGTATTTTTTAACTTTTCTGTTTTTTAAAATATATTTTTATAATATTAAGATGGAAGACCTCTCGTTGCTCGCAACGAGTTTCTAGTTATTATTATTTATTTTTTGCATAGTCATGAAGTGAATCGTAATTTATTACACTTTCAACAGAGTTGCATATAAAAGTAAAGTTATAATCCCACCAAACATTGTGCTTTGACAACTAAAACTTTTGTATACTGTCAATATGAGTAAAATTAGAAAGCTAACTAGATTAAGTTTTGTTTCCTTAATCAAACATATACTACTGAAACAGTCTGATGTTCTTCTCTGACAATGGTGTGAATCCACGCATTGAAAAGGCCTCCATGGATGGAAGTGATAGGACAGTGATAGTGCACATCGGTCTGCTACGAGTCCTATCGCTTACTGTTGACACTGTCAATAATTTACTCTTTTGGGCGGACGTTAACAGACACACTCTTGAGGTCAGCAATTATGACGGATCAAGTCGAAGAGTTGTAAGACGACAGAGTCAAGTCTTGTTGAATAGTGTCGTTTTTCATCGGGTAATTGTATGGTTTAAGATATTTCAACATAAAACTAAATGTAGTAAATGATAAATGATACTTCATTTTATTAGTCAAAATAAAATCTTTATTTTCTCAGGCCAGACATTGCCGCATTGACCATTTTTATTCACATACTGAAAAAGGGGATTAATTCAGTTTTGTATTTTTTAAGCTACAAAAAAAAAAAAAAAATCATACGTACGTGTATTTAGAAAAAAAACAAAGATAAAGCATGCAATCATAGATACGCAATAAATTTCTGCCTGCTGCATTTAATTTTGAATGAAATCTTTGACCTGTTAAACTCAAGATTTTTTTTAAGGAATCCGGATTCTGTTGATTGTAACATTGCTCAATACTTACTTTTTTTTATTGTTGAAGTGTTTTAAGTGTATGATATAATGATATATTTGTTTTTCTACGTTTAGAATATACTACATGTTGTTAGCTCGAGCGCTAGGTTGATAGCTGGATATGATGCTACAGCTGGGTCTTTAATGTACGGTGTAAACACATCAGCAGAACCGTTTGTTGTTCATGTTTATGATGCAAAAATATTTCAATCACATGCCGGTATGAAGCAATAATGTTTTATTTTGTAAATAAAATAGGTTTGACCAATTTTGTTGTTGCTCAAATTGTACACTAGAAAAGAATCTTAAATTCCTTTCACTGTGACTATTTATATATATGGTGTGCAAATATTGTCTTTCTATATCATTCAAAATTTGTTGCCAAAAATTATGAAGAGTATTTTTTAAAAGCATGTGCTTGATGTGCCTTAGTGAAATTTTTAGATTTCGAATGGTCATAAAATATTTAGACATTGGTTTTGAATTAATTTGTTATAACTATTTGAATAATGTGTATGTATATTATTTTTTAGACTCTTGTGCTTCAAGACGTTGTCAACATATATGTGTAAACAGTCCTTCAGGAAGCAAATGTCTTTGTGCTGAGGGTTATAGGTTATCCTCAGACGGTTCCACATGCAGAGGTCACGTCTGTGTATATCAATATCTAAGTTCTTAAATACTAGTAACAAAGGAGAGTAATCATATTTCTAAGCAAGTTTATATTGGTTAAAATAATAAAATATAGAACTGTATGAAGTTCGACATTTAGCACATTTATCAAAGAAAATCATCATAAAATTGTAGTTTATCAAGATCGGATTCAGAAGTTGAAATGATAGGGAAAAAACCAAGTCCCAAGTACTTAAGAAGTTCCTTTTGTTAACACTTTCATTTTGCTGCTTTGACAGAGCACTCTTCGCTCTATGAGAAAGGATTTATTGTTAGCAACGCCACAATATTTTCCATGTATGAAGTGAATATCGTCAATGGAATACAATCCACGGTTACTGGCATTCGAATCTCATCAGCTAATATCACAACGTTTGCTGTTGACACTAACTCTCATCTTATTTACTTTGTGGACAGCCGTAGTAAAAGATTAAAAAAAACAGACATTATAACAAGAAAGTTTAGAACTGTAGCTCATATTGGAAGTGCTACAGGTAAAAATTAATTTTCTCTCTCTCAAACTCTCTCTCCCTCCACCCCCTCACACGCACACATTCTTCATAACTTCTGTCAAAAAATATAATTCTAGTTCCCATGTTTAAATTAAACCTCCTTCAATTGTCATTCATTGCTTTCCCTTTCCATTAAAATAGACCTACACTTTGACTGGGTTGCGAATCTACTGATATGGATTGATCCAACAGGGTCGAGCATACAAACTTACTCTATCAATTCTGGTTCGACTACAGTAATCTATAGGGGACTTCAACAACCAGCTTCATTAACAGTGGACGCATATAATGGGTTTGATATATATATATATATATATATATATATATATATATATATATATATATATATATATATATATATATATATATATATATATATATATATATATATACATGTATATATATATATATATATATATCATTTAAATCCAGTGGTGATGCCAAAGTCCGATTGTCTCGCCAAAGTACTATGGCTCGTTTCCTATGACACACGTTGCGCGAAAATGCGATGTTCTAACACGCCAAAGTCCGATTTTGCAGAGAAATAAAGAACGTCTATGACGTCACAATATTCCGACGTCAATCCTTGACTTCGTTTGTATGGCATTCAAAAGCTAACCATATAGGAATATTTTGATTGTTTGAACAGTTTGATTGAATTTGGTTATTTGCACTCACATTAAATATTAAGTTTAGTATTCGCACCCCACTAGACTGATAAGGGTTAGTTCTTGCACAATATTGATTTAATTGTGGGAGAGCTTCGTACCCATTCGAGAGATAATTTCAGCCGGGTAAGACCTCGTACACCGTTGGATTGAATAGGGTTTGTCTCGCACCCACCAGAGAGATTAAGGGTACGTCCTTTCACACTTTTCGACTGACAAGAATTAATCTTGCACCCATCACAGGGATTAAGTCAGCCTCGTACCCACTTGAAAAATTAGGGCTCGTGATACAATTATATTTTTACCTATTCTTTTTCACTTTGGCGATCAAATATTTTAATATTCTTTTGTTTTTATTCAAAACTTTCGGACCTTGGAATGGTGCGACTTCACAATTTACTGCAAAAGTACTATATGAGTCATAAACGTTAATTGTTTTTTTTGCACCATCGGACTTTGGCGAGTCAAACTATCAGAGTTTTATGCACACCATAGGGGTTTCTTGTGACCATCGGCTTTGAAGTCCCATTGCACTTTCGAATCCTACATATATACTTGAATACTTTGTGAAAAGAGTGCCTCATACACGTAATAAAAAAAATCATAAATATTAATAATGTCCAAATTATTTTAAAATATTAAATCAAGTTTTATTTCATGTCTTTTCCGTAATTGTATTGATTTTTAAATTACTTTAAAAAAAAAAGATTATGAATTTCTTTTCTTCCATTTTACAATGTAATATATTGTAGTTATCTTTTTTGGCTGTCGGGACAATTACGTAAATCAATAATGCGGGGAAACTTGCGCAGAACTTTGCCAGAAGCTATCGTGTCTTCTCCAAACTTAGACAGTCCAACGTCTCTCTATTATGATATCACAAGCAACAGGTAAATTTTAATAAGTCTAAAAAAAATGTACACAATTGAAAACTTTAAGTCGCATTTCAAATAACAATTCTAATTTATAAATGAATCATTTAAATGTGCAAAGCACACAAGAAAGTTGTTTTGATATGATGTATAAATATTCTCACGATTTTTTTTTTTAAGCTTTGATTCGGTTGACAGCTTATTTTTTTTACTATGATATTTCCATTTAGAAAACTAAATATGTCATAGATTTAGTTGGTTCTTCTCAAAATGTTTTTTAATCTAATTCGTTTTTATTTTAGAATATATTGGCTTGATAGATCGATTATTAAAAGCTGTTTGACCAATGGATCCAACATTAAAAGTCATACTGTTACGTTAGGTGCAACGCAAATATTTGTATACAAGGTAATTAAGTCTTGTTATAAGTTTTATACTAGATTTTTTAAAAAATCAAAGATAAACAAAGTATTTGTTTATTTTTACTATTGTGTTATTGTACAATCAATAGTCTATAATTATTAAAGTCGATGCTATTTTATATAATGTTAATTATAATGCATACACTACACTCTGCTGTTTGAATCAGAGATAGAGTCATTTAAAAAACTGTTTTAGACCAGTAAGCCTATGAAAGATTCAATTTTGAATGAAGTTATGTTTGTCATCACCTGCATGATTATTAGAAATAGAGCTTTACGAAAATCTTAAACTGCATTCCTTACCTGCATATGTATTTGTAATGTTTTACCAAGAGGCAAATCAGAAACATGATCTGAGAATCATTCCTCTGTGCAACATCTTATGCAAGTCTGGTCTTCTTTTTTCTTCAAATTGTTAAATTCGCTATGAATTTTTATCACAAAGTAAGAAGAAAACCATTACCAATAGAGCACATGTTATTGAAACTTTCTCCTCAAAGTATGAGTGTATTATAACTTTCACTACAATGAAACAAATGCTCACCTCAGCTCCCTAGCACGTTAGAGAAACAGGAGAGAATTTTTGTGGGAATCAAAGAAAGTTATTAAATACTGATAAAACAGAAACAGTCTTATGCATGAATGAACAAGTCTTTGTATAGACCCTAAAACGTGCTACTACACCAATTGAACGGTACGGTACGCTTTGTGCACGGTACGGTTCGCTTTGTGCACGGTACGGTTCGTTTTGTGAACGGTATGTAAAGCAAGTGGGCGGAGTCTGTATGCTTTAGTTTATGACTGGCTTCCTAATAAAGTCGTTTATTTCTTTATTATAATCTCTTTATTTTATATAAATGGAAGTACGGTGTCGTTCAACATGCACAGCTCAAGTTTTTACCTGTGCACGTGTGATGACAATACTCGATCGAAAAATTCAAATATTTTATAGAGTAAATAACGAAAGTATAGAAAGACGTCAGTCTAGATAACGAGACCAAGGCAAGAAATGTTCAGTGTTTCTTAAAAAAGAAAAACTTGAATGTACATGCATGCACAGACGAAGCATTAAAAAAAAAAGATTTGTGAACGGTTAGTTTTGTGCACCGTACGGTACGCTTCTTGCAGGGAACGATTCGTTTCGTTTCTGAGGTGTAGTAGCACGTTTTAGGGTCTGTATTTCTGTAAGTCATTTATCGGCAATTGATATTTTGACGTGAACAATGACAAATAAATTTTCTTGTAGGATTTCTTTGGTTGGATGGACAAGAACAGGATATATTTTGCAAGGAAGTCAGCAATTTCCTCAGAGATTGTTTTTGATTTAATACAAAGTCCTAAAGAAGTTGTCATATATGATTCTTCTTTACAGCGGGATAAAAGTGGTTAGATTATATTTGTCTCTACATGAATTTGACATTGTGAATGCTAACAACTACTGAGTATGTTGTTTGAGGAAACACTAAATACTTTGAGAAAATTGTCTTGCATAAATTTGTACATGTTGAGTTTTTCTAGCACATTTTCAAAAAAAATATCTTACCTGCCATATTTCTCAAGGGAAAATTGTTCAAATACAATGACATAATAGTGAACAGAAATCACGGTTGTTCAGTTACATTGGGTATATTATGTACATGCAAATAATATTATCAATTATATTATCTTTGTCTATAGTAATGTTAAGAATATTTCAATTATGCTCTTTACTATAGACCTCCGTTTATCCCCTTTTCCTGAAAGTACAAATCACACAAACTTCACAAAGTATTATGGTAGTTACCATCAAATAAGAACTCTTCACTGAGAAGTATTTAGAATTTCCTTAAGCTGTTGTATAAAATATGATGAAGAAATGTATATATGGTTATACGTACAATTTAAACCATTGAATAAGGTTCTATTATAAAATTAGTGTAATACTACTTTCAGAATACAGAATATTTTAAAATGGGAGACTTCTTGTGCTTATATTTGAGTACACATGGTGTCTTGGCTACAAAATATTCTATTTTTGCATACTGCTAAACATCAACATGTTTTTCAAATGCTTAACGTAGAACCTACGTCGTATTACGTCAAGATTAAGTTTTTGCTTGGTCTGAAGGCATCTGCTGCTCTCTGATCCGAGCTAATAAAACTGTATTTTCAACTATATTGAAAAAATACAAACTTGCTAATGAAATATATGAAGATAACGAACAGTATTCAGGCTCAAAAGTCCAACAAACAATACAAAAAAGGAGCAGAGCAAACACGGACATCCAAACTAAGAAATCTTTAGTTTCTAACAAAAAATACAATATTTTGATAAAATGTCGCATGAATAAAAGATCTGTTTCAAATCGTATTTTTATGTATAGTAATATCTATTACGAAGTGATGTTTTTACATTCTATCCCTTAAATTCCGAATATTTGTTCATTATTTATACGTGTCTTTGGTGGTTGATGTATAAAAAATGTCCTAAATTATCGATTTTTAAAAACCTTTTTTGCTTAGTAAATCTTAAAGTAACCTTAAAACAGTCATATAATAATTGAATCTTGTGTAAGTGCAAAAAGGTATACAGAAGTAGTAATAATTATGAAAAAATATATCTTTCATTAGTTTGCGAGGAAAGGTATATATTTTACCCACTTTTCTTAACCATTAGGATCCGTTCTTCATCATATTACAGTGACAAAGACATATGGAAAATAATAATAAAAATTGTATTTAGATTGATTCAAAATCGTTGATAATTATTGAGCGCATTTGCTTATATATCATGTTATATGGGGTTTCTGTCATTTTTTTTTTAAAAGAAGAATTTATTCTATGAATATTTTAAGTAAATAAAATCAGTAAACGATACAATTTGAAAATAATTTTTGTAATTTTCTGTCTAGTCCTTGTGATCATGTACCACTAAAAGTCAGCAAATTACACAGGCTGCAGTACATTCATTAACAAGGAAAGATACCTTTTAATTTGATTAATAAGCGAGTGCTAATCAATGATTTTGGAAAGTTTGAAAATCCTTTGGCAAAGACTTTTCCGACAATTGAAAGGTTTTTCCTTAAAATCACTTCAAATACGATTAGAAGTTCTCAAATAGACCTGTTGATTACTTTTCACTTTCATTTCCTCAATTTTATAAAAAGCTCAAAGTAAAAACCAAGTTTTATGAATTACCTATTATATATCTTAAACCTGCAAGCCTGATGATCGATGCATTAAAAGTGATAAAAAATACTGGAAAAAAAAGCAGAGGATGAAATTACACCATTCAGTCGACAGAATTGTAACTGAATGCCCACTGACTTATCACTGAAAAATCACAGAATAGATCCTTTCCCGTGACTTTTCCGTGATCTTTCAGTTATCATTCAGTCGACTGAATGGCAGATACATTTCAGTGATCTTTTAGGTATCTTTCTGTTGTATCTTTTTATTAAACAATCGGCTTATTTTCTAACTAAGAGTTTTAATTTCACGTTTTCCAATTATAAAAGTATTAATTTAATCTCTTTTCGAATAAAAAAATAAATTTAAAAAAGTGGATTTAAGAAAGGAATTCTTGTAGAAACTCAGGATCGAACGAACCGGGGGCCCTTCTGCAAGGTAGTCTGCCACCTTATCCATACCACAACTGCGTCTTGTTGAAAACTACTGGTATTAAAATCGATGAATCTGTAGAAATCGAATTTGAACACGTAGTTCACTTGTTTTATCGAGGAGCTTGGCGATGTGTATATATAGTCGATAAAAAATAGGTAGCAACTGTTCCTTCGCCATGCGCTCGGCACTTTGAAGTGAAAGTTGCGGGTCCTTCGGATGAGACCTTAAAAACCGAGGCCCCGTGTCACGGCAGGCGTTGGCACGATAAAGATCCCTCACTGCTCAATGGCCCTGAGTGCCGAGTAAAGGTCAAAATTTGAGGCCCTTCACCGGTATATGGTGACGTCTCTATATGAGTGAAAAATTCTCGAATGGGTCGTAAAACAATATACAATCAATATATTCTATGTTAATTGCGCGGATTTTGGGACAGACTAATGAATTACAAATATCCTATCGGGATGATGACAATTATCGGCGACGGGCATCTGTTTCTCAAGGAAATGATTCAAGTTAAATCTTCAACTCGGAGAAAGTTTAAAAATTCTCTATCTAGAAAATTATGTTAAATAATTTTAAAATGATATATTTAAAAGCTTAAATATCATGTTATTTTAACAGATAAGACACAAAATTTACAATATTTAGTTTCTTCAACAAGAGGCATGAATAATTTTTTCTGTCTCTTATTTCACTACGAGATATTTCCATGAAAACTAACCGCATTATACAGCGTTAGATGGACACAAGAATAATGAAAAAGTAAATTACCTTTGAAAAAAAATGAAGAAAACATTTATTCTTGTTTATATTAACAGATTAAAATCATATTTTGACCGAGATCCTCTTTTTTCAAGTTGACTGATTGGTAATTTAACAACTTATTAAATTGAATAAGCTTGTGGAAATATTTATCACTGATTTAGAGATTTTACAGAAAGAAAAAAAGGATAATTCTATGTCAGTCAATCAAATTCTGATATAATATTGGATCATTATCTGTTGCCATTTAAATACTTCTATCTTTCTAAATCGATTCTCATGCAACAGACTAGAAATACGAAAATGATTTTGAATTTTATGAGTGCACAGTTGAATTGTAATTTTTAATATTAGTAAAATTATATTAAGACATAATTTTTATAGTCTATAATCACAATAATTAACATTTTAGTAATCAATTTAAAGACAGTTGAACATCTAATCATTACTAGTTCAACGTGGTAGAATATTCTTATTACAAAAAGTATAACAGAAACACATTCATTAAAGATGAAGATAAAAATAATTTTATGAAATTGTTAAAGAATAATAATCACAATAATTAACATTTTAGTAATCAATTTAAAGACAGTTGAACATCTAATCATTACTAGTTCAACGTGGTAGAATATTCTTATTACAAAAAGTATAACAGAAACACATTCATTAAAGATGAAGATAAAAGTAATTTTATGAAATTGTTAAAGAATAATTACTGATAAACTAATGAAAAGCCGATGAAAAAGTTGAATTACGACTGAAAGGCAACTGAAAGATGACGGAAAGTTCACTGAAAGATAAATGAAATGTGTACTCTGAATGGTGACCGAAAGTAACTGAAAGGTCACTGAAAAGTACCTCCAATTCAGTGATTAAATGGCCACTGAAAAGTCACTGAAAGGCTTTTCAATTTTATTTTTTGTTTTTATATAATGATGAATGGAGATAACGAACATTAAAAAAATTCATTGAAACAATACAAACCGGTAGCAGAGCAAACACAAGCATCTAAAACACATCAGAGGTGGTATCAGGTACCATTGAGGAGTAAGCATCCCCTGTCGACCCGTCATACCCGCCGTGCTCTTTGTCATGGTCGGGCAAACGGAAAAATCCTTAGACAATTCAGTGTTTAAATTACGAGCACTTTACTTAATGAAATATCGTATTTTCTGACAAAGTCGTTTGACTCAACCATAAAACTTAAGAAATGATGACATAAATAAACTTGACCATAGACTTTAAGCAAATAAACGCTTGTTTCTTCAACATTTGCATAAATGATAAAGAATTTTTATATAACATTTTTTAAAGCAATATATTTCTTTGCATTCTTCACAGAAAATTTAAATCTTATGAAACTTACTGTCAATACAGGTGTTTGCAACGATCTGAATGGTGGTTGTGAAGATATTTGTGTGCCGATACAAAGTGGACGAAAATGTGAATGTGATTTCGGCCTGCAACTCCAGACAGATATGAAAACTTGTGATGCCAGTAAGTGGGATAATTTTCTGCATGGTAATTTATCCATAATTTATTTGCTTACAATTTTTTTTTTTAAATTTTGTAAGGTGTTTATACGAAGAATTTCTTGATTGTGGTTGATAACTCCCATGGAAGGATCCTTCAGATTGACATTAACACGGGAAATTTAGTTAAATTACCGATCAGTGTACAGAGTTCTTCAGGAATAGCATTCGATAGGTCGACAAAGGAACTCATCTACTCCGATGGCTCATCGAAAACTATAATGTCCACTACGCTTCATGGAAAGAATACAACGTTGGTCTACTTAACAGGTACATGTATTTTGAACCTGATATTTAAACTAAAATTAGAAATTAATACCTTTACTTCTCAGCAATGTTCATCGTATTTTCTTTATTGTCGCCATTGCATTTCACAGGATTCGCCCATGCTGAGCGTTTGACCATTGACTATTCAACGGGAAACATATATTTTTCTGCAGTAGCCTCTATATCAAGTCAAAGTTATATTGGAGTTGTGCATAGAAAGAGTTTTCTTCATAAAACTTTGTTGTCCAACTTGCACAGACCAAAAGATATCGTTCTATATCCATCAAAAGGGTAGGTTAATGTACAGGTAAATGCATGAAATGATTCAGTTTATTATTATACAAGTATATAATATCTTTAAAAATCAAATAAATGTAACTGAATTTATCTGGTGTGTATGTAATCTGATGTAAAATATGATAAAAAAATTATTGATATGCTTTTTGTAAAATGATCTGTTTTACGATTTAGATTTTTATACTGGACAGAAACCGGAAGTACAAGAGAAATAGGTAGATCGTACATGGATGGAACATCACAAACCTACATAGCAACAACAGAAATTGGAGCCCCAACTGGTCTTGCAATCGATTTTACATGTATGAATAAATACCGCTACATTCTGTTTCCTTACATTTCATCTCTGGATGTATCTTTTATTTAAAAATAAGATTCATAACGATTTATTCTTCTATTACCTTAAAGCCAATAGACTTTACTGGACTGATGGACCTAAAGATCGTATTGAGTACTCTGACTTAAATGGAGGAAACAGACATGTTTTGACAACAGATAAAGACGCATTTCCCATTGGAATTGTTGTTCATGGACAATATCTCTATTACACAGCGTCGAATAGACAGTTGGTTTAAACTTTACTTCTCTTTTTCTCTTTCAGGCAAAAGTTGTCATTTAGTTGTTTTACTTCCTTTGGGACCGTAGTCTGTAACTGTAAAATAAATCAGAGTGAATATAACTTTTAATCTTTTTATAAAGTTTTTCGATTTTTTTTATTTGTTTGTTTTTGTTTTGCGTTGCTTTTTGCTTCTTTGGGGTTTCCTTTAGCACGCGCAATTTGACCTAGCATACATTAATTAGTGAAAAAACTTCTATAATCTGTAAATCTTATAATATTCAATTACAAATATGAAGTATATTTCTATTCTTAAACAATTTAATTAACAATTAACAACAATGTTAATGATATTCTGACGAACAATATTCAAGGTAAGTTCGACTCTTGTTTTATTTGCTTATTAACAAATCAAACGAAATAAGACATTTTTTTTGAAATGCAGAGGCGTAACAAAGATAAACAAGGCAACGGGTTCAAAAATAACATTCATGTCAAGTCATCCAGAGCTAGGTAGACTGGATAGTCTGGATGTGTATACAGATGATTCTGTTGATAGTAAGTATTGGACTTTTGCGAGAAGCGCTGACTTTTACAATCGACGGCCTACTTTTTCACCAGGACAGTTTATGGAAGCTCTTTTGCGACATAAAAATTAAGCTTAATAGTTAATTAAACGAAAGAAATGGACCATTTCAAAGCACATATTACGTTGTCCAGGAAGGGAACGGCAACCACCCTACCCTCAACCCCCTCCCTTCCCACATTGACCGACTCTTGCTTAGTTTTCCTTCTGGAATGTTTTTTCTTCCTTATTTGATTCCTTCAGAAAATGAGATTGAAAGGAGATACTAATCCTTACGAATAAATAATTTAAGTTATGTAATTCTGCCTCCAATCATCTCTTGCGTTGATTGCATACCAGTTAATCATGTAAGTACTCCAAACAAAATATCTATAACCACTATTAAGGTTTTCTTATCATTTATCAATTCCGTACTTCCGTACATAAGGTAGTTTTGAATGTCAAAGTAAGTCGTCGACTGTAAAAGTCAGTGCTTCTCGCAAAAGTCCATTAATGCTTTGTTAACAAATACAAAAAATTTCGAAAGATATTTTTTTTCATCTCATGAAACCGGTTCAAAACCAGACATGTATTATAAAGTTAATCTTTCCTTTTAGTGAGTTTCAGTTGTTCTACAAATAACGGTAACTGTAGTACGTTCTGCTTTCCAACACCGAATGGAAGAACGTGTGGTTGTGAGGACGATGTTGATCTAAAATCAGATCAAACAACGTGTCAAGGAGGTACAAGTCAGCTTTTCATGGTGATACAAAAATATATAAATACAGAGAATTTAATCCCATAAGACAAATTAATAAGCAATTTTAGAATTACTTACCGCATTAAAAGTCTATTAAGTTGGAAACAAATTTCAGTCCGAAACTTCAGACAACAGGGGTACAGGTGAAGAACCCTCAGCTATGCAAAATTTTGTGGAAAAGATATACATGTAATTACATGTAATTGCATTAAGTTAGGATTATATTTACAAAAATATAATTAATTTTTAGCTCACCTGAGTTGAAAGCTCAAGTGAGCTTTTCTGATCACCTGTTGTCCGTCGTCCGTCCGTCCGTCTGTAAACTCTTCACATTTTCAACTTCTTCTCAAGAACCACTGGGCCAATTTTAACCAAACTTGGTACAAAGTATCCTTGAGGAAGGGGAGTTTAAATTGTTAAAATACAGGGGCAAGTCCCCTTACAAGGGGAGATAATCAAAGAAAAGACAAAAATAGGATGGGGTCATTAAAAATCTTCTTCTCAAGAACCACTTGGCCAGAAAAGCTGAAACTTATGTGGAAGCATCCTTGGGTAGTGTAGATTCTAAATTGTTAAAATCATGACCCCCGGGGGTAGGGCGGGGCCACAATAGGGAATCCAAGTTTTACATTGAAATATATAAGAAAAGTTTTCAAAATTTTCTTGAGAATCACTTGACCAGAAAAGTTGAAACTTATGTGGAAGCATCCTGGGGTAGTGTAGATTCTAAATTGTTCAAATCATGACTCCCAGGGGTGAGGGGGGCACAATAGGGAATCCCAGTTTTTTTTACATTGAAATATAAAGTAAAAACCTTTAAAAATCTTCTTCTCAAGAACCACTTGACCAGAAAAGCTCATACTTATGTGGAAGGATCCTGGGATGGTGTAGATTCTAAATTGTTCAACTCATGACCCACGGGGGTAGGGCGGGACGCAATAGGTATTACAAGTGGGGAAATCTGGTAAAGAACAGCATGGCCAAAGTTACTCAGGTGAGCGATGTGGCCCATGGGCCTCTTGTTTCAGATTTCTAAGACATGGACATTTTTACCATAGTAATTTCCGTTTTCATGCTTGTATTAATTAGATTACCCTTTAATAGATCGTGGACAAAGTAAATCAAAATTATCTTTATTCCGAAATTTTTATTTATTTTTTTTTTGAAAGTTATATCTTGACTTTAATTTGGTCAGTTTCTCGCTGCGCTACTTCTCTACCCAATGTGGTTTTACATGACTGTCTTCCATATCCTGGACATACTTGCATAATTCACTGTAATTCTGGATATAGACTTGCAGCTAACGTATCCCTTATGTGTGATCACTCTGGACAATGGGTTCCATCCCCAGTTTCCTTGTGCACAGGTAATGTTTTAACATTTTAGATGAAAATATAATACAGACTCGAAGTAATCTAGGCATGGGGAAGGGTACACCTCCCCTATATTTCTTTTGTTGTTGAGTACATGCTAAACACTTGTAAACTTAACAATCGACGCTTGTCTTCCCTCAATTATAAAGTCCATGACCCATTTGTTTGTTTTCAAGAAATTATGTAGGCTGTGCCCAAACTGATATTGCTTCATACAGACCTGAAATATACAGCTCAAAAACCTTTTAACTGAATATTTTTGTGAACTTACTAAATGCACATTTTTGGCGTAAATGTATACCTACCAAACAATTACAGATATGATGAATTTTGGAATTTTATTAAAGTTCTTATACATGTATTCGTAATTGACAATTTACTTTGTTGTACATAGTTTCTCCTCTTGTTGCACGAATAACAACTTCAATGCAATTATGCATATAATGAAACAGGTTTTCACGGAACCTTTTTTTCTTAAAATGAGCACCGTTCTTGCTAGAGTGCCTTAGATATATCTTAAAATCTATACTTAGTTCGCCTGTTTTCATTAAGAATCGGTCTACTTTATTTGACCCCAAATATTTATATATTTTTAGTATGAATCAGGACTGTTCTATGAAAAAGAAAGTGTGGAATCTGCATTACTTCTGGGAAACTTCCTGGAGTTGTTTGAGCAACACTATAATATACTATAAATAATTTATACAAATAGTTTTTGCAAAATATTTATCAAGCACATATTGTACTTAACCTTTTAGTATCTCCAAAACAAAAAAAACAAAACAAAAAAAAAAAAAAAAAAAAAAAAAAAAAATCATGGAGTGTCCTACACTTACGCTGCCAGGAAATGATCCCAATATATATTCAATCTGAAATAATTTATGCGAAATTGTATTTTCTGTGGAATAAAAAGATTTTGATGACAACATGCCAACGGCTTGAACAAGACATTTGGGAGACACTTCAGAGGAAATGAAACTCATTCCATAAATGTTCTATGGAAACTTAGTGACTAGCACAAGTGGCATAACGCTGTTATTCCTGCAAAAGGGGGAGTAACTTAATACCATAAAAAATAGCAATATCAAAATACCAGCGTTGAATGTGAAAACTATAATAAAATGGCATAATTTATCAAATCTTAAGTTTGCACCATTGTATACTAGTAATATTTATTTCCAAAATGTGCATTTAATTAGTTCTCAAAGGCATGTTGAGCTAATTTATTTTAGCTTATTCTTGACCATTTTCAACATCCAGTTTTTTGTAATAAATGGAAAAATTAAATGCCAACAAGTCAACAGTTTTCTTTGCCAATTTCCAAAATTTGATTTTACGGGTTTATGTGTGGTTAGTGTTTTAGAGAGAGAAAGGGAAACTTAAGTAATATAACATACTTTAGGATTGAAAGGTGCTTTTATATGGACCTTCATCTTGCCGTGATATAACTTTTTTGAGGAAGAGAAAAAAACAATTCTAAAGAGGGTTTTACTTTTTCAAGAGAACAAACTGGTCCTTTATTCGTTTGAAAGTGTTTTTAAAACTTATTGCTCTGTTAAGAATAATTTCCAAAGTAGTAAGAATATAAAACTAAATTTTACTTTGTTTTTTTTTCTATAATACTGTTTTCACATACCTTCATGATTAAGTAGCTCGTTGATTTTACTTACTAATGAATAAATAGAGTTTTAGATGTTACAATCACTAAAATGTTCATTAATTGACTCTGATTTTAGAGATATTCTGCACGTCAGCTATATAACATGTCAAGTTATCAGCAACTTGCACACAAAAAGCAGGTGAATCTTGCACATTTTCTTGTAATGATGGATATACCCCGAAAACTTCAGAGAACTTACTTTGTACAGATATGGGCACCTGGAGCCAGAATACCAGAAATTTATGCTTAAGTAAAGCATTGTCTGAGAAATGCGAAAATGATCCATATTTGGATTCTTAAAAAATGTCGTGTTTTCGGATTCAGTTCTTTCTGGCAAATGTGTGGATTAAATAATTTTATAAAAGACTTGTTTTTTTTAAATCATTTTTATTTTATCTTCTTCAAACATAAACTTGAAGTATAACATGAAGAATGTTGAAAATTAAATTTTGTTAAAATTGAAATGCTAAGCTGCTTTCTTATTGAAAACAAATTATATCTTCGAAGAAGATATATGATGTTCATAGAAATTTTTTGATCATTAAACTTATACAGTGATGAAAAAAGATAAAAACATAGTTGAAAGAATTTTATATATTTCATTTTTCGTGTCGTAAAGAAGGTAATTTTAATCAATCTAAATCCAACAGAAGAAACTGGTTTGAAAAGAGTTGTAACTGTTGTACATTCGAAAAAACTTTCTTTGGAAACATTTTCTAAATAGAATTTGCATGTGTCATAATTGAGATACATTACATGGAGTAATGATTCAAAACAAAGAGTATGGTTTGTCGTGTAATGTGCCACTTTGCATATGGTAAAATCTGATATGGCCTATATCTCAGTTTGTGCATTATATATAATCGTCAGATACATGTTGCTCTGTAGAAATGATGATATCATTGTAAACCAGTTTCTAAATAAATGTCATCATATTATAAATACACTGTAAAATAATTATGTTAAAAATAGCACTTAACACTAAAATAAAACTTACAAAAATATAACAAATAAATCACTTGAATATGCCAAATACCTCAAAATAATAATGATTTTACCATTTTATTTTCTTATATTTCTTTTCATAGGAAACACATCCTCACAACGCAATAGCGAAGACGATTTTGAAATATACAATATGTATGTCTACATTGGATCATCAATTGCAGCCATCGCTGGAATAATTTTCGCTGTAGCTCTTACAATAGCGTGTTTCCTCAAAAGAAAAAATACATCTCGGTAATTGTAATGTTTTAATATGAAGTTGTTTATTATAACTTTGTCAAACTTTGAACCCTGTATGCGTCTCAATTTTGGTCATGATTAAAATAGGAGACACATGGATCACAATGCTCATCTGAGTCACCTTGGCCCTACTATCCTTAAGAATTTCTATAAAAGATTTTTCCCTTTTTATTCTTTTTATTCCCATGGAAATATTTAGCTCATACTGTGTACCCGTCCTACTTCATAGAATCGTCTTTATCAACGTAAATCTATACAAAATGGGGATGGAAAACTTCAATATCAAAACAATGCTCTGGAGAAAAAAAGAATTTTTTCCCAAAAGATCCCCCCCCCCCTGTTTTCATGCTTTATGTAATATTTGATCCCGATTTTAGTTCAAACTTAGCCCTTGGGTCCATACCTTGAACAATCTTTGAAATGGTTGCATATTTAAATACAGTGATCTAACCCTGTAGTATACCCCCTGGGTGTCCAAATTTGAGCAAACTTGAATCTGTACTACCTGCATATCTTGCATATTTACTGAACTGTTCCTGTGAAGATTTTGAAAGATTTTTCCCTATACAATTCCATATAAGACCTTGATCCCCTATTGTTGCCCCTCCCTACCCCTCAGGCCATTAGACTCTGTCTCATTTACACAAAAAGTAGTTTTGCAGAGACAGACGAAAGCCTATGATAATCAGTTTTAATAGCCTTTGGTGGGTCTTAAGTCACGTCAGAAGAAAACCTTTTTTAATTCCAGTACATCTTTCGTGTAAACCTTCATGTAGGGTTTACAATGGATACCGATCTACCATTTACCTAATTGGCTACAATCCAGAGTTAAAATTATGTATGCCTAGAAAATGTCACTTATGTCGGCCTCATAAATCTCAAAAATGTAGCAAGTAAAACTTTCTAACAAAAGATTTTTTCCTATTCAAACGCTGATGTTATCTCTTTGATTTTATAGCGATTCGTACCAGACATCACCGGTGCACGCGGAACACAATTACTCGATAATCAGAAGTCGTGGACATTTGACTGGAAGTAATAGAGAAGAGGGGCAAGAACCTGCTGAATACATTACCATTGATGACCAGTTCATTACAGAATATGTGGAACCAATGAAAGACATGTATCTGAACCCTGTGTATAGCTACTAAACTGTGCTACTCATCTGCAGCAAAAAACTTATGAGCAGACAAATATTTGTTTTTAAATTTTACATTGATTGTAATACAATTGATTATTTTTTGTATCGTTACTAAACATTTGTTATGTTTTACATTGAAATATGAATTAGTCAGAAACTAACATTTTTTTCAGTATGGCTTTTAGCTTTTCCTTAATCATTTTCTAAACGCCAACTAATACCCGTTGAAGAAAAACAAATAACTAACAGCATCATTTTTGTGAGTGTATTTTACTAATCAACGACAGAAAGTTTTACGAGAAATTCACATTACTTTCTCCATTATGTAAAAGTAATCTAGAGAAAAAAATATTAATTTTGCTTTGATACTTATATGTAACCATGTGAAATAACAATTGTCTTAAATTACAAACATTACAGATTTATATCTTTTCTTTGATAAACACGTAATGAAAGACCGTGCATGATATAAGGTATCAATTCTTATATACATGTAAGCACCCAAACCGAAGTTAAAAGATAATATAAGAGGGTTAAGATTAAAAATGAAAATTGTCCAATGTAAACTCATTAAATCATTAAATTAGAAAGTTTCTATTAATTCTATTACAACGGAGTTTCCTCTCTATAGACGTCACAAAAGACTGATGAAGGGCTTCAAATTTAGACCTTTTATTGGTAGTGAGGGTCCTTTATCATGCTAACACCTACCGTGAAAAGGGGGCTCGTTTTCTAAGGTTTCATCCGAAAGACCTGCGACTTTCACTTCAATTGGCGGGGCTTGTCGAAGAAAAAGAAACAACATACGAATGGGTATTAAAGCAAAACAGGACTGGAACTTAAAACAACACAATCAGTTTTGAAACCCTTCTTCAAAGGTGATACGACTGGATGGATTCTTGTCGTTACATCATTCTTTTTGTTCTATGATGAATTGATCATCATGGTTATTAAACTGAATCTTTAATTTTTTATGCTAACTTAGATACATTTAAGTAAACCATTATAAGTCATCTTTCATAACGCACGTAAATAAATACAGGTACAGGCTGCTTTGAAAGTGATACAGTCCTTCTAAAAAATGTTCAAATTTGGCGAAGCAGAACAGAAGTGACTTCCTTATTCAGTTTTTACAAAAATACTGTACTTTCCCCAATTGTCCAGTTATATATTGCTATTTAATTTAAATGGATATTCGTTTCTCATAAAACAATTATGTTTGTTTTACATGCGATAGTTTGTCTTATAACCACAGCAACAAATGTGTATTTTTCTTTTGGTAAGTCAAACACATTGATCTGATATTTATGTGTTATACTAAGATATATACTTCATTAATTTCAAAGCCTAAATATTGAAAGTAATTAAATCTTCAATAACTACAAAGCAATGTAACAAAACATCTAAGTTCCTCAATTTATTAACCATTCAATGCTGCTTTGATGTTGTCCCCCTTTTAAAGGAGTATTCTACTTAAGTATTGTAGTGTGGTCCCTTTTTACACCCTTGGTTTACCGGTTAAATATTAGCATACGGTACTTTGTTTGTTTTCATGGTGTATAACGAAGTATTTCTAATTAAAACATTGTGTATTTATAATGAATAATTAAACATATCAAAAAATACAAGTCCATTTTTAACACCTATCGCACTAAAAAATTCCGGAGCATTTTCCTCCGATCAGACTACGGTTTCTCTATTACATGGATATGGGCGGAGACATTCAGATTAGATACTATAAAAAGAAGATCTTGATATGATATTTTTCTTTCAAAGACGAATTTTATGTTCAAGATTCACAATCAACTACAAATACAATTTCTATTTTATACAAAACTTTGGCAATAAAAACTATAACAAGATGAACCAAACAAGTCCATGCTGATCGACATAAAACTGAGTACGTTTCAACTGAGAACTAGCACGTTCACTGGAGGCATTCACCCGTAACGATACAATTCTAAACAGGTCATATAGAGGTTAATCGCATGTAAATGAAGTCAGCGAAGATATTCAAAATCACAATACTTTTAATTAGGAAACATAGAGCACAAGGTTGTTCAACAAAGATATTTTCACTCAACCCTTACACATATAATATACACATTATATTTCAAACTCGACTCTGAACAAACCTGTGCTCGGTGTTTATGAAAGCTTTGAAGTGTGTACCTGTCACTGATTTCTTTTGATATTCATGAAAATCAAAGGACCCTACCCTCAATGCTGCCTATATCTATTGTTTGACATTTTTAGATGATGATTCAAATAATAAAGACATAAGTTAATAATAAAATTTAATTTTTAAAAATTTTAATAAATATTCGAAATTTGACGAGTAACCGGGGACCACAGATAAGCCTTATTGAGACTTGTTCTTTGTATTTAATGATATCAAATATATTAAATATTTGTAATGAAGATCGATAATGTATTTGAAATGAAGTAAGAAGTCATAATTTTTAATCAAAGTCTTTAACGATTTATAAAAAATAAAGAAAAACAACACTTTGTTAATTCCTTTATTAATTGAATGTATATTTCTTCTCACAAGGTTTTTTTTGTCATGAGAACTTATACTTATTCATTGAAAAAGTTTCTGTTTGTTCAAACAAAGGTTGTTGATAAAATTAATCAAAGAATAAGAAAAGTTAATTTACGATTGACAAAATATAATAAATATGAGAGAGAGAAGAAATGACAAAAGGGAGATGTTGTACTTGCCTAACTGTTTAATACAGTACCCCTACACCAGGTGATTTAAAATTTGCATTATGTTTATGAAATATGGAGATAACGAACAGTATTCAAGCTCAAAGTCCACTAAAACAATACAAACTGGGAGCAGAGCAAACATGGAAATCAAAAAACAGGTTTTTAAATATCAGAAATTACAATTTTAAAAAGAAATTTGAATATAGATTTAGAAAAAAAAACGAAACGAATAAGAAAAAGAAAACTTGTATACAAATATGCCTGCTGGATCCAAATATTGTAATAATAAATAGTAAAAAAAAAAAGTATATTCATGTACATGTAAAAGGCTGTAAATTATTTCCAAATTTTCGTAAGCTTTAAAAATATTCTGGCTTTGGGTTTACAATTGTTTGGCTCATGTATACGTTGTACTTAGGAATACATGTTTACAAACACGACATGTATTTCAAGGTTATTACACTTGTTGAGAACATAGTTGTTTTTCTTCTCCAGAAGAGCGTGTTGTTCGAATAAAGCGTGTATTAAAGGTGCTTAGACACAGATTTGAAGTTTATATTTTCTCAAATTTTCTGTACATAATATTACAACTTATATGTTGCTATAGCATTTCACAAGAAAATAAAATTAAAAACTTATTTAATCTGGAAATTATTGAAACTTCGAATTTCGGGGGGCGTTTGATTATCACATCCTTGCACTTTCACAATTTTTAACTCTATCCTTAATACTTAAGAAAAGTAGCAATTTTGTTGTGTATTAATGAATAATATTACATCTATAATCCAGAAAATTCAGAGTAAAAATGTGCGAAAGCAAAACCCACTCACTTAAGTATTGTCAGCCCGTGCTCAGTGTTGTGTAGTTGTGTACAGAGTTTAACAAATTGAATACACCCGTGAAACGTAAACTGATTTTGTAAACAGGGCACGAGCTCTGTTGTTGTTAATGTTTACGTTTCACCGGGTGTGTTCAATTGTTAAACTCTGCACACACCACTGAGCACGGACTGACAATACTGTTCAGAGGATTTTGCTTTCTACATTTCAACTCTAGAATTTCTGCATTATAGTTTTAATATTTTTCATTAATATACGACAAAATTGCTACTTTTCTAAAGTACTAAGGAAAAAGTTAAAATTTGTGAAAGTGCAAGGATGTGTCTATCAAACGCGTCCAGAAATTCGAAGTTTCAATAACTTCAAGATAAAATAAGATTTTTATCAAATTTTCGTATGAAATGCTATAGCAACATATAAGTCATGAAATTATACAGAAAATTTGAGTAAATATTAACTTCAAATCTGTGTCTAAGCACCTTTAAGCTATTTGTAAGAACCAGGCAGGGTTGATTCATGACCATCTCAGATTTTTTTGAAATTTTGATATGTTGCTTTATGGACCAATGGAACATCATTGGATGCTATGATTTTACTGGCCAGCCTTTGTTGCCATGCAACCAGACGCCATGTAATAGTAAAAGGCTTGCAAGCAACAAATAGCAAAACTGGTCAATTTAGCTATAATTTAATGAAGGAACAATGCTTCTTCGATGAAAATAACACAAGTGAATCTTTTTTCCCAGGAAGTAACATAAAAAAATTCAATTATTACCATATTGATAAAATTGTTCATTATTTCTAAAAAGTATTAAATTTTAGTTCATTTTGCTGCGTTTCATAAAATTTGCCTTTTACATTTTTTTTTTAAAAAATCATGCACATTTTAATAGAATTTTATGAAAAAATCACACAAATTCATTAATTTTGATTATTTATGTTAGAAAGTGCATATTATGAACAATTAAAAAATTAAATAAAACCCATGGGTTTTCTTAATATATTTTGTTACCATGGCAACAAAATCTCCTGAAAAATTCATTTTTAACCAAAAAAAAAAAAAGAAAAGCATAAAGCATCTCATTTCTGTTGTATTTTAAAGAAGATATACCATATACCACTTATGCAAGAATTTTGGGAATATACAATAGGAAGTACACGTCTTATATATTGCAAAATTAAGTTAAACCAATTAGTTTTTACAGATAATTTGCTACCATGGCAACGGAATATCTAAAATGCATTTTTGTTGAAAATAGCAAAGATATATCCATACAATGCCAGAAAAAAGATTTACCGCTGTATATGTCACCTAGCACGTTTAAATAAGCATAAATAAAAATACATCTTAAATAGTCATTATATATGTCAAAAACAATCTTTGGTTACCATGACTACGGACTATAATTTACTTTTAAAAATATATAAAGCAATGTTTGATAACTATATATAACAAACATGATTTTTAACGAGTCATTTTTT